TTGCACGCTGACAGTTCAAGGCCACCAACAAATCATTGGAATATTTCTTCAGTTTCACCTAGAAAATTGTAAACTGTCGACTGTCAGGTTTGTGTAGGCAGACAGATCTGCTTTCCCTCGAGATGCTACTATTTGGAGTGAAGTTTGAACATTCATTCGATTACTCCGTGACGCTGCAACTGATTCCGTTCAACAGAATAGGAAGAAAAAGAGACGGATCATCGAGCTGCGTTTAGTCGGGACCGAATCCCAACTTTTCTGTTAGACCTATTGAGCGAATGACCTTGATAGTTCATTCATGAGTGAGAGGTAAGGGAACATCTTGTATAACTCACGAAATTCTCTTAACCCAGCCGTCTTTTTCAGCAATTTCTATATAATCAAACTACCAAGATCTAATCAATCTTGTGCACTGCTATTGATAGAACTCGTGATCAAAAGTGGAATATTATTCACGTGGCTTACAGTAAGTGACCAACGTTCATCAAGGTCATGCATCCATGTATTGTGGTTGATCTGAGCTAACCGTCGTTCGTGAGAGCAGAATAGTGGCACTCGGCTCAAGGCTAACGAGGAGGGAACAAGGGAAAATACTGAGATACAACACCTGGGTACCGTTATTCACAAGATTTCTCGAGAAGTTAGTTCACTGAGCACCATCAGTTGTTCAAAACAACAACTTGATCGACCCGCCACGGACGGAGTCCAAGAATCGACATAGTATTCAACGGAAAGTTTTTCGTGCATTCACGGAACATTCCTCGAAGCACAGCTTCATATCCAGTAGTAAATGCGTAAAAGTTACAGCCATAATAACCATGGGATGTAAGTGAAGGCTGAGCAAGTCCGTTTCCGTATACGCAGTGTACACGAGTATGAGGTGCGGATGATCAGGTAAGCAAATGTGAACGGTAATCTATTTTGTGAATATTGTTCTGTGACTCCAACTCAGAACCAAATGTCAATAACCGAGCATAGCTCACTAGTAAAACAAGGGTCACTATATTCGGATTGTGAAAATGGTACTCAGTCGATGTCACTGAAGGGCGATGAATTTCTACAAATACAAATGTGGTTTAAAATAGCACCACAGTGCTGGTGATTTGCGAGCTGCTTTTGGTGGTGACGCGGCTTCCAGAAGAACTGTGTTTGAGTGTTTTGCGGAGTTCAAAAATGATAGGCGGCCCCTGAATGTTGAGACACGGTGTGGGTGACCTGTGGAGACCACCACAGTGGAAAAAATTGCTGCTCTGCAAGCGATGGAGGAGGAGGATGACAGTGGCACAGCTGGCAAAAACCTTCGAGATATCATGGGGATCAATCCGCACAGCCCAGATGAGAAGATTGGCCTCCGAAAGGTTTGCGTACGCCGGGTACCCCATCAGCTCAGTGGGGAACAGAAAGCAGTTCGGATGAATTGGAGCCGCACCATGCTTATCAGGGTTCATGGTGGACGTTCCAATGCAGGTTTGGAGACCATCATTGGTGATGAGACCTGGGTGTACAATTCCGACCCAAAAACCAAGCAACAATCGGCTCAATGGACGCCGGTTGGTGGGGTTCCGCCTCAGAAATTCCGATGCAAGGGTAGTGTGACAAAGCAGATGCTGGCTGTGTTCATGGCCAAAACCGAACATGTGTCTACTGTAACGCTACTACAGCTAAGCACAATCACCGGCGACTGGTACGCCACCTGCATTCTGTCTAAAGTGCTGGAAGCTATTGCCAGGCGTCTTCCAAGGACTCGAGCACGAGGGCTCTTGCTGCACCATGAGAGCACACCTGCCCACAGGTCCTGGTTCGGCATGGTCGAGCTGTTCCACCAAATGGTTTGAGCGTGTGGAACTGTGCATGAACGCTCGGTAGAGAATACGTCGAAAAAATGTAATGCTTATTTTTGTGCAACAAATAAAACACAAACGTTTAGTGCGTGTCGGAAGTCTCATCATTTTTGCTTCTAAAAAGAACGGTGTAATATTCATAGTTGAGGGGAACTTTAACTTCGATCGTTCCAATGAATAGGTGCAATACTGGCGTGAACTAAGTAAGAGCTAGTTGGCTTGTAGCCAACGGGCCTTCAACGGGGATTCTGTCATGGCCTGAGGTACCTTTTTTGTCGATGGAATGTTTCAGTTGTCAATTCCTGAAAAAAATCTGACAAAGGAATCCCAAGTTAAAACCTTGGACGAGTTCCTTCTCCCAGTCATTCCGGAAAATCTGTTGAAAACAATGATTTTCCAAAGCGGTACAGTCTCTCCAGCAGTTCGGTTAATTTGACTGTATGTATATACAGTCCAGTTGACCGAGCTGCCGGATTGAAACGATCCACACCACTTTTTATTCACATTCATTTGCTTGAGTGGCTTTTATCGACTTTTGTTAAGTAGACCCAATGCAGGTGCTTGCGTGATATGAGGAACGTATCACGCAAAAGTATTTTCACAATGAGTTTCATTCACATACTTTCAACATAGACTTTACACCAAATGCGGCGGAAGTTTGATTAAATGAGTTTCTTTTGTCCTAGAGGACAGCTAAGAAGTAACCGTGATGTTCAATCCGTATTCCATTTTAAAGTTCTTCCGACGGTTTTCATCCCAACTCCTTTCAACGAAGTTAGTCCGTCAGTTCTTGGTGTGAGCACTGAAAATGTCCTACTGCCTGGTCGAAAAGCTACGTCGTTACTGGGGGTGGGG